TCTTCAGGGCACTTACGCACCTGTTTTTCAAGAGGCCGTTTGGTTAAAAATATTACATAATATAAATATACAGTACAATACAGATAAGTAGAACTACAGGCATGCATATATAACAATATAAGACGATTAACCCTACCGCCTCCCCCCCTCCCCCTTACAAACGAATGCACTACTTAAATTTAGGTTAAGTGCATACACTTTAACGCGAGGAATAATGATCAAGAATGGACGTGAATTTCTGACTAGTAATTCCTGAACCTTTAGCCTCAAGAGGCAAATTATTCCAGGCCGAAGAGGCTGTATAGCTTATGCTTTTCTTCAAAAAAATTTGTACTTGGTTTGTCAAGGGTGAAATCTCGATTGTTGCTACGGAGGTTATACCGCGAGTTTGTTTTAATATCAAACATATTCATCATACTAATTGGCAGTTCATTATTCCTTACCTTATGCATAAAAAATAGTTTTTTGTGCTTAAGGCGTTCTTTCAAGGGTTGCCAATGTAGTTCTTTTAAAACATCGCGTGATCTTGTTTCGTATGTTCTGCCAGTGATTACACATGCCGCTCTGTTTTGCAGTTTTTGAAGTTTGTCAATTAAATAATCACTACAATTATCCCAAACAAGGCTGCAGTAGTCGAAATGTGGTAATATAATGGCATTATATACTTTTTTCAATGTTGTTTTAGGAATTATTTTTTTCATTCGCCGTAACATGCCAATACCTTTTGAGATTTTAGTCTGTATGTTTTCGATTTGCCTTTCCCAAGTAAGATTCTCATCTATAACAACGCCTAGAGTTTTAGAATAGCTTACTCGTTTAATTGTTGTTTCGCCTACGTGGATTTCCGGCTCATTTAATACTTTAGATAATCTTTGTCTAGACCCAATTACCATATATTCGGTCTTTTCTTTATTCAAAGTAAGCTTATTGGCCAGCAACCATTGGTGTATGTTGTCTAAGTCATGGTTTAGTTGTTCCTGAATTTCTGCCGCTGATGAGCCATGTGTAGAAATATTTGTATCATCGGCAAACATGCTAGCAGCCGATGAAGACAAGCAATTTGGAAGATCGTTTATATATAATAAAAACAATAATGGGCCAAGATTTGAGCCCTGTGGCACACCACATTTAACGATTTTTTTGTTAGATAATGTTTGGTTAACTTTACACATTTGTACTCTATCAGAGAGATAGGACTGGAACCATTGAAATGATTTTCCTCTTATTCCATAATTATAAAGTTTTCTTAATAGAATACTATGATCAACACAATCGAATGCTTTTTTTAAGTCAAGAAAGATAACACCATTCAAATTTCCCTTATCCATGTCAATAAACCATTGATTTGTAATGCTAAGGAGAGAAGTCTGCGTACAGTGTTTCTTTCTAAAACCAGCTTGTTGTTGTACAAGTAACCCATTCGTTTCAAGATAAGTTTCCAGTTGTTGGGTAATAAGTTTTTCAAAAATTTTGGCAACGCTAGATAGGATTGAGATTGGCCTATAGTTATTGCATTCAGTTTTGCATCCTGCTTTGTGTATTGGTGAGATTATTGCTGTTTTGAAATCGTTTGGGAATATACCTGTATTTATGGATGTGTTGAATATTAATGAAAGAGAGTAAGATACTATATCAGCTGAATCTTTTAGAAGTTTATTAGATATTCCATCGTGCCCTGTTGACTTAGAAACGTTAATAGAAGACAGTATTTTATGAACTTCTATTACAGTAGCATTCTGTATCTGAAATTGTGAATTGCAGCTCGAAAGATATGTCTCGGGTGACCTTGTAGATTGCTCCATGTTGCTCGCTAAATTCATTCCGATTTCATTGAAATATGTATTAAAGATATTTGTTATAGAAGAGACATCTGTAGCACTTTGGCTTTCGTGCTTAACTTCTGTGATAATAGTCGTTTTCGAATTTTTATTGGTAAGCTTATTAATTGTTTTCCACATCTGTTTTGGATTATTTTCACAGTTGTTAAGAGTATTTGTAAAATAGTCTGTCTTTGTTCTTTTAATCAATTTGTTAAGCTCATTTCGTGCTTTGGTAAAAGCGTCATGAAATTGTTTAGATCCAGTTTTTACTGCCTTTCTTTTCAAGAAGTCCCTACGGTGCATCATATTTTTAATTTCACTGGTAATCCATGGAGCATATTCACTTCTTACTTTTTTAGTAATCGGTGGTGCATGCCTATCTGCCACCGTAAGAAATATGTGTTTCCATTCATCCCACATTTCATTTGGGTCATTAGTTATAGAAATTGTTTGCATATTAATTCCCAGATCTTGTTTGAAATCGCCGACATTGTAATTTTTAAATTGCCTTGTCTTAATTATTTTGGGCGCTTTTCGTTGTATTGAAATTTTTCTTTGAATAAAAATAAGACTATGATCGCTAATTCCTAAGTGAACCACACCGGTGTTAACAACAATTTCTGGTTTATTTGTGAAAGCTAGATCGATTTGTGTCTTAGAGCTCTCAGTTACCCGCGTAGGCTCTTTAATTAATTGTTCAAATTGTAAAGTTTTAGTAAGTTCTTCAAGTTTCTTTGTTTGTGAGTTAGTATTATTGGTTACAATTTGAGACCAGTCACAGTTGAAGTCTCCAATCAGTATTACTTCCTTATTTTCAGAGTCCATTTTCTTAACGATTTCCTCGTAGTTATTAAAAATTTCTACCGAGGAATCAGGTGGTCTATACCAACAACTTACCAAGAAGGATTTTGATTTAGGTTTAGAGATTTCAACTGTAATTATTTCAAGATCGCAAGACATTAGCTCTTCTTTAACTTTATAATTAATAGAATTTCTTAAGTAAATAGCAACTCCCCCACCATTTCGGTTTCTATCTTTCCTTACGATTTCATAACCATTTATTCCAACTTCGTGATTAAGAACCGTAGCATCAAGTCGAGTTTCATTAATACATATAACATCAAATTGTTGATTTTGGAGATAAAGTCGAAATTGGTCTATGTTTTTTACTAGACTTCTAATATTCAAATGGGCAATTGTGAATCCTTTTAGTTTTAGTGGTTTTAAATTAGTAGCATTCAAATTTGATACACAATTGTCAGAATCTATATTTCCATTCCAGATCATATCCTTCCTTCAATTTTGCTCATTCAAAAAACTTATAATATTCTTAGCTAACATTGGTGTTCCTGCTCTATTGAGATGGATACCATATGGATTGATATGTTTTGCTTGGATATTTGCATGGGTTATATGACCCCATTTGTTCTTCTTACAATTAGTTAAAAGAACAGCATTTACCTCAGCCACTTTTCTTCTTTTTTCTGGTGTGTCCGTCCTTGTGATCAGCTCAGATATGACGACTTTGGTGTTGGGACTTTGGTTCTGGATGATATTACCAATTTCAACGACTCCTTTCGCAATTTCTTTCGCATTTTTCTGTGCCATATCGTTAGTGCCGACGTGTAGAATCACTGTATCAGGATTTTTAGCGAGACAGGGTCTGATATGATGTTTCATGGCATCACAGTTCGCACCACTGTAAGATTCCGTAGAGATTTTCAGAGCTTTCTTAGCTACTGATCTTCGTAGTCGTCCTTTGTTGAGGTGTTTGATCATTGAATCTCCCACAACAATTACAGTTTCATGGTCTGTTGTGGGGTCATCAGGTTTACGTTCACCTGACTTTTTCTTTCTCGGATGATTTTCCTTCATACTTTCCGTTTGGGCTGATCTTGTTGTTTCTTGGTCGCTTGTCGCTTCGTCGTTCAGTATGGAATATCTGTTGGGATTTTCTACCACAAAGCAGTCACGGTCATTACCCTCAGCTCGAGCTCTCGATGCAGCGCCCTCTTTAACTCGTGTCCAGTCGTTTTCTTTAATAACTATTGAAGGTTGATCATTTGTACTTTCTTCTTCTGGGTTGTTGCTTTTCGAAGGACTTTGGCGATAATCATCATGTAGGAGGCTTATCGCATAAAAACAGGAGTAAATGGCTTTGATTTTTAGCCGTGCTCTCCCAAATCATCATGTGCATAAGTCTGTAGGTTTGTGTGTGGGCATGTTATCTTGTAGCCAACACAGCAAATAATTGAAATAACCTGAATTTAACGTATATTCTGGTAAATCTGCCAGTCATTTCACTGTCAGACAATGAATATTTGACCCACATGTATCCCACATATCATTGCGTGTACCTAATGTTTTGATGGATTGAAAGTTGCGTGACGTAAGCACTTCTAAGGTCAATTATCAACTGAAATCAAATTTGCAAACTTTACAATTGTTTCCTGGCCAGTGTACCAGAAAACGGTGAAAAATGGAATGTATACCGAAAAATTAACGTTCTATATATTAATTTATATGCAGAAGTGGTCAACAAACAACAGTAGAATGAGCAACGCAAGGGCGAGAATCCATATCCAGAAAGTGCTATTTTCACAACAATTATTTTCGGCTAGATTTATACCAGCCTTTTGTGTGTGGGATAGGGCGTTTTCAGTGGTTGTTATATTCATTGAAAAAGTTGATTTTAAAAAAATAGGGATTTTAATTGCAAAATGAAGTCATTGAATAACTATTAATCATGTATCATGAAGTGTAGAGAAAGTAAACTATGGCAAAAAGTGTGTGTGGGTAATTATATTTACTCCAAAATAGTGAGGGGGATACGTCCCTGAGAATTAACGCCCATAGAGCAACGGACAATATTGAAATGTATCATTCATTGAATAACTATTAAGTCATTGAATAACTATTAATCATGTATCATGAAGTGTAGAGAAAGTAAACTATGGCAAAAAGTGTGTGTGAGTAATTATATTTACAAATAGTGAGGGGGATACGTCCCTGAGAATTAACGCCCATAGAGCAACGGACAATATTGAAATGTATCCCGTAAAACGATAGACAATTGAAAGTACACAAGGCAGGAAATGGCTCAACATTGTAATTAATGTATGCAGAGAATGGTCAATATTGCAAATGGTCAATAAACGAAAATAACAGACGACATAACAATATCTCTCTCCTCCGCAGAGGTTATTTATTACCTCCGCCAGGAGGTTATGTAATCATCTGGGTTTGTATGTATGTGTCTATGTGTGTTTGTCTGTGAGCACGATAACTCAAGAAATACCAAACATATTCATACGAAATTTTTTTAATGCATTTCCCATCGGCTAAGGAAGAACTGATTAAAATTTGGTTGAATTTGGTTAAAAATTGAACGCGAAATGAACAAAATTTTGTCTTGCTTTTCCCGGTCAATTAAAAAAAAACTCACTGAATGCGTAATTAGGACGTGTATAATTTATGCACCAGTACTAAGACAATAATGTATCAATATCAGCGCAACAAACAACTAACTAACTATCAAGCTACGATCATGTGGAAACTACCAAATTCTCTTCAAATGTTTAATATTAAATGCTTTAATGGTCTGGCGCTAACCTGTATATTTGCTTCACGATTTTAACTCGCGTGATCACCACACCTGTATAATACGAGGTACAAAGGTTTACTCCCTCGCCACTTGCTAAGATAGTCATGAACCAAATTCTTTCAAGTACAATGGAGCGAAACTATGGAATACGATCCCATCTTGGCTAAGGGAAGACGTTTTCTTTAGTTTAAGGCTGGTGTGAAGAAACATCTTGTAATTGTACCAGTTTGAAACATCAAGACTCCATTTTAACCAGCCTGTGTTTAAATTATATGACCCTGAATGAATATTGTTTGTGATTCATAGCAGCACAAGAACAACAACAACTATAGCATCTTAGATGACGCTACTCCGAGTGGCTCCATATCCTGCAAGCTGAAAATTGCATAATTTAACTGAGTTCTAATTTCACATTGAATAAATAAAAATCTTTGACCAATAATTCTGACTGGTATAAGGTTGTAGACCAACAAGTACGTGTCAGACTTTGCCTATGAGTGTTGCTCCATATTGGAATCAAATTTTTTTCCTGAGCTTTTAGAGCTTCTATAAGCAAAACTAACTAACTTATTAAATCAATATTTTTCAGGAACAAATGCACAGCAAGATTACATGTCCAGCCAAAATAACAGCTATAGCCGTCTCCCCTAATGGACTCTATTGTGCAGTAGCTAGTTCTGAGACCATTTATATCTGGCAGGTAAATTAAAATGATTTGGGATCCAAAGATTCAATTTTGGAACTCGGTGATTCAATCTTAGTATACAATGATTAGGAATCAAGAATTCAGGGAGTGTAGTTATTAACTGTTATTGGACGAACCTAAATACGAATATCCTCACGCATCCGCACACCACTTTGCGCATGTTCACTCTCCTCTTAGTGTACTTCACAACATCACATACCACCCAACGCATCCTCACATAACCTCACGCTTCCTCACACCATCTCATTCCACCTCATCCTCACACCACTTCACGCAGCCTCTAATGCCTCACGAATGTGGGACATCAAACCATTGCCAGAGTGCTCAAACTGCAAGCAGTGAGCATGCGCACAATGCGTAAGTAGCAATAGCTCATCCTGTAGAGTGCTCAATATGACCTAAAGGCCATAGAGCAATATCTAATTACAGACGATAGAGAACGAGGTTGAGCATTGAGTGTGTGTAGGGGGGGGGGGGAAGCGCAGTATGGATTTATCGTAAGGGGTATGGCAATTTTGTATAGAGGGAAAGATAGTCTGAACCAGTTATGTCCAATGCCAATTTTTGGTAAACCCTTGTGCGATTAATATAGTTATATGATTACTTTACCCTAGATTGGGACAGGAAACCAATTATGTACCTTATCAAGACATTTCCAACCAATCACATGTCTGAACTTTACAGATGATAGCTCATATCTTATCTCAGGAGCTGATGATAGTCTAGTCTCAGTATGGCCGTTGGTGAGGTACTGAAAATCTCTCTTTGAAGTTGTAACGTTTGTAGCCAGATTAAGAGGGTAACGTGCTGACTGAAGATTCTTGCAACTCAACATTTTGTTCACGTTTCAGAGTACTATCACATTCTCGTGGTTTCGAAGTCGAAAGTGTCACACCTAAATACACGTGGTCAGATCACGCACTACCAATTACTTCAATTCATGTTGGTCGTGGCGGGAAATATGCCAGAGTTACGACTTCATCGTTAGATCTCACTTGTAAGGTAAATGTCGGTGATATATATCATGCACATGATGTGTTCATCATATAGTGATTTGAAATACCGGAAAACGTCTATAAAAACAAGGCGCCTGCTTTAGTGTTGATAGCGTTTCGTGATGTTTGCAATAATGTGGGTGCCAGAGGTTTCCAAGTTTTACAAGATGTCTGACAAAGAAGGGAAAGACGAGAAAATCCTATGTAACTCTGAAAGCCTCTGAAACCCATCGTATAATTGGTCTCCCAGACAAGATATTTACCTTAAAGTTTAATATAATTTGACACTCTCTTCAAAATTTGACAAAAATTTTGGCCGGCTTTGAACGAAGGTTTATTTTGCTGTATCTTACGACATGGACCTTCAACGTCGTTCACACAACCTTCGTAATTAGAAATCGTATTTATAGACGTCAGATATGTAGTTATCCTTCGTACCTTGGCTGGCTATTGTAGGATATCTGATTTTTATGAGGATGCATATATATAACCTGGTATAATCGTTTAGAAAGACCACTTTTAGAAATTGAAGTTGGAGGATGATATTTTGTTTTTAGCTCTGGGATCTTTCTACTGGTCACCTTTTACGTTCGTTTGTTTTTGATGTCGCCATTTTATCTGTTGTCATGGACGCAGCTGAATACAGATTGTTTGCTGGAGGTTTTGATGGCAAAATATACGTCGTGCATTTATTCAAGCAGGTGAGATACACATACTATAGACTTAATCAGATAATAATGACATGTCCCACCAATTCACTCAAATCAAGTGCTTGGTTATACCATGTTAACATTATCATGAAAGTGCTAACAAATTCAGTTGAATGTTAATCTTATCATATAGAGGGCAAAATTACTCAAATATGATTGGCCATTTTTTCTTAATTCATTGCAAAATTACTTGTACCTGATTGGCTGAGACGCAAGCGCGGGAAGTTTCTTGTTTCAAATAGCAATAAAAACAATGGCTTCTCGCTTTGTCGTCGCGGATAATAATGTTATTGAAGAATTAAAAACTTCTAGTGAAAACTCGAATACTATAAAAAGTACAATTTTAGGGGTTGGAGTATTTAAGAAATGCATGGCCAGCATTAAGGAACGTTGGCGAAGACATGGAGACATAAGAGATTCAAGAACTTGACAAGTTCACAATAACTTACGAATAAATTTTGCCCTCTCTGATTAAAGGCGGTTTTCCACTAGGCGAAATTTTTCGACCGAATCGAAATTTTTCTTTGTTTCAGAGCTCTCGAGCAGAACTAATTGTAAAAAGACAAAGAGAAATTTCGTTTCGGTCGAAAACTTCCGCCTCGTGGAATCCGGCCTTTAGCGGCCAGGCCTTCGCGAAAAAATAATGCGCCGCCATCTTGGTTTTAAAAGTTTCCCAAAATTTGCGAAGACAAATAACAGAATTTTACTACATTTTTGTCTATGTTACGAGCCAAAACATTGCCAAATATAAAGACAGATGACATGGTAAGTGTAATGTCGTATTTAATAACTGTTATTTGAATTATTATATAAAATGTGCACATGTATCTGACCACCGTGATCTGACTCAGGAGTGAGCACCAGGCACTGAGCATTCAAACCCGTCATCTATAATAATATTAATATAAAACTGATTGAAAGTGACTGCTTTCGTTCTTTGAATGATGGCCTGCCTGTTCACAACTCATTAATATATGTACATGCAAAATTGTAAAGCACTCTGTTTGAATTTTCAAGGAAGAATTTGTCAATTTGAGTATTTGTAAACAGTTTTTCGCCTCTGGTACTTTTGCATATTTCCACATTAAAGACATTTCACTGCAAGTGCACATAGTCCATATATCTGTAATTTTAAACTTCATACTGTTTTGTACACATGCAGCTGTTGCAGTGTTTCAGGTATAACATGCTAGTCACTACAAGTTCCCTCTCTGATATAAAGAGTTGTGATGTACTGGTACCGTAAACTTGCGACTATAAGCCACCCCCCACCCCCGAATATAAGCCCATCACATGTACTAAAGCTTACCTCATCCCAAATATAAGCCCACCCTGAATATAAGCCCCCTCCCCCCCAAATTGATATAAGCCTAGTAATTGCTGCTTAATACATTTTTAATTTCCTGTTTATGACTGACTTGTATATGTTTGACTTGTTTATTACTAACACAAAAGATCATCCATGTAT